GGCCGTACGTCTGCTTCTCCCTGGTCGTCAGCGACTCGACGGTCCGCTCGATCACCGAGGGGAGGAAGTTGCCCTTGGCGCCCTGTCGCAGCAGGGAGCCGATCTCCTCGTCGTCGAAGAGGGTGACCAGCTTTATCGCACCGTCGTCGTCCTTGTTGTCGGCCAGGAGCAGGCCATGGAAGGCGCCCCAGCTGCAGAGCTTGTCGTCGATCCGGCCGGCGAAGATGAACTCCTTGTCCAGGCCGCCGACGGTGGCCGGCTGGAGGTCGAAGAGCTCCAGCTCCCAGTTGGCGATCTGGGTGTAGTCCTTGAGGCCGAGTTTGTTGGAGATCAGCTGCACCAGCTTGGGCGGCTGGGTAGAGACGAAAGATCCGGCTGGGCCGAGTGGCTCAGCAGGCTTCAAGCTGGGATCGATGTCGGAGTTGTCGAGGCCGATGATCGGAACCGCTTGCGTTTCCTTGTTGTTCTCGCCTAACATGCCGACGCCAAAGTGAGGAGCAAGAGTCGGTATGCGAGCAACTATATATCTGTTAGTAAGAGAGAAGCGGCCGGTTGGATATCGAGGTGCTCACTAGGCCAGTCGATTTTGACCAGTTTTGTCGAGGTCTTGCCGTCTTCACCCCTCACTATGACTCTCCCTCCAATGCTAAGGTCACGGTCCCACCAGGTCTCATTCAAGGCTCCTGCGTACTGCGCAACCCCTAGTTGGACGTATCCAGCTTTCGTAGGCTTGTTGCTGACTGGCTTCAGCTTTGCAGTCAGGGCATCAATGTGTCCTGCCACCATTGCGACCCCATTTCCAGGTTTGTACGCCTTTCCGACGGTGAAGGCGATGATGGAGCTACCGTTTCGGGTCACGAAGTATTTGCCGCCGGGCTCAATCTTGCCAGACCAGTCGTCTCGAGCGGGGAGCTTGGTCGGGTCAATTCACATATCCAATTGGGCTCGGCTTAGGCCTCGGCCTGGGCACAAGGAGTCAGTCACATACCTCTTTGTAACCAACAGCGGCCGCCTTTTTCTTGAAGTATTCTACAGTATGAAATATGGTTGGGTTCTCCTGTAAGAAGTCACAGAACGGTTGGGTAAAGGCCTCGGGGGACGAATTCGCGAACGCGCACGTCTGGCATTGGCTATCTACTGCGACTATATGATCGCGTAAGGGTGTGGACCCCCGAGACTTGATCTCGCCGATACAGCGGTCGCAAACAACCGGAGTGTCCCTTTGGCGGCCTAGCTCGAACAGAACCCATGCCTTCTCGGCGGCAGTCATCGGTCGCTCGCCTGGACCTTCGGATCGTTCGACAGGATTGGGGGGCTCGGTCGTATGCACCGCGTTCTCGGTAGTGCTAGACGCCATTCGGAGCGATAAGTTGGAGCTGCGCTGACGCAAGAATTCGGAAGTATGGCGGGTCATCCTTGGGGAAATGCTCCTGCGATGCTGGATAGGAGGAGATGGGAAAAGCAAGAAGCAGGATAATTCAGGGGCAGGAGGGAAAGGGAAAGGGGGTGGAAGCAAGGTAAATAAAGCAATGGGCTCTAACACTATGAAGTACCTCGGGCGGTAACCGGAATGACACTGATTTAGGTAGGTACCTAGGTACGTAGGTAATGCACACATGACGAGCTCTGGTGACGGAGCTATCAGTGCTGCAGCCTCACTGCCTGCAGGTGGCGGGCTGGTCCCCGGAGGCTGGTCCCTGGCAGCTGGACAGTGGCAGAGGCCCTGAGTGGGCGGGAAGCTGGAGCTGCCCGCCAGCGGAGCTGCTTGCAACTTGGCCGATAAGCTCTTATCAGCTGCTGGTCTGCTGGTCTATAGGTACCTAGGTAGACTACAAATTGTAGTCTACAATGCATACCGAGCTAGGCAAGTGGGGAAGAGCCCGTTCCCGCGCTCGTTCGGATGCTGCTACCCAATCGATAAGAATCTACTGCCGGGTCTCCCTGGTCAGAAAGTTGAAGTTCGCTGGTTCGAGGTCTTGAAGGTTTTGGAGGTCAAGATCCACTTCTACGTTAGTTCCCGGGAAAAGATCTGGACTTTGGAGCGTCTTGTATGGACATTTTGACTTTTTTTTTCTTCTTTCCCTCTGCTGCATGCTGACCCGAGATGCAGTTCAGTCATCCCGCTTCGCTCTGATTCAGCCTTTCCGTTGATCATATCAGTTGTCCTCTCTCAGGTGTTTTCACCCCTCTCTTCACCCCTCCCTTAAGCGTCGCACGCAGCACTGTAACGGTGCTAGACCCTACCAAGCTTCGCATTGTCAGTTTGCGATTTGCGGTTTGCGGTCTGCAGTCTGCAGTCTGCGGTTTGCGTGGAAAACCTGGTGGTACCTAGGCATTCACCTATCACGTTGGTTAGGTCAGCTGGTTTTCTCACAGCTTACAGCGCCATCATTCGCCCGTCATTTCTCAAATCTCACCGGCAAGCTCCTCCGCATCTAGTCCACTAAGCCGAAGCTTCCTTGTAATCCCAGCCGTGGCATGGCCTTCTTCACCTAGAATTTGTTATCCCGACATATCATATGAGAGCCTCCCAACTCCTCAAAATGGCGGCCCCAAGCTCTGTCTTAGATGGCGTTTTCGGTAATGCGCATCCAACATAGCTGCTCATATATATATATGGTTAATCTTTACTCAAATTCTAACCTCTTCGCGAAAACAGGCATTAACAAGCCAATGGGCATGAGCTCTGCGCAAGTCATTCGAGACTGCCAGCACCACTTCAACCCCTCCACCTTTTTCAAGCCCATGATAGATCAAGAGTCCGCCAATAGATCTCAAGAATCCAACAACAAGAGAAAGCGACGCAAGTTCGGCAAGAATGACCTGCGCGTCAAGATGGGCCATGGCGGAACCTTAGATCCCCTCGCGACTGGTGTCCTCATTCTGGGTGTTGGAAAAGGAACCAAGTCACTTCAGTCTTTCTTGGATTGCACCAAGACCTACGAGACGGTTGTGCTCTTCGGGGCAAGTACAGATTCCTATGACAGGGTCGGTAAGATCCTAAAGAAGACGGCCTACGATCACATCACCCGCCCGATGGTTGAAGAAGCCCTGAAGTCCTTCCGTGGCAAGTACCAGCAAATGCCCCCCCTATACTCTGCCCTCAAGATGGAAGGCAAGCCACTATATGAATATGCGCGCGAGGGAAAGCCGATACCCCGCGAGATCGCAACTAGGGAAGTCGAGGTAGTCGAGCTGGAAATGCTCGAATGGCACGAACCTGGAACCCACTCGCACCGTTGGCCCGCCGAGGAAGCGACTACTTTCGAGCGCAACTTCGCCGAGCAAGTCTGGAAAATTGAGAAGCAGCAGATGACTTCGAAGAAGCTGACGCCCGAGGAGGAGGAAGAGGAGACCAAAGCTCTGAAAGCGCACGAGAGTTTCAAGCGGAAGGCTGATGAGACTGTGGATGCGCTCGTCTATGACAAGGTCAACAAGCGTAGGAAGACAGAGTCGAGTGTTCCTCTGATGTCAGGAGCTCTGGGCGACTTGCCGCCTCCATCCCCTAAGCCCGGCAAAGGATCCAACCTGGTTCCACCTCCCCCGGATGCTGACACACCGCTTCCCTGGGACGATAAGGGTCCACCAGCCGCAAGGATTCGAATGACGGTCACATCCGGCTTCTACGTTCGGAGTTTCTGTCATGATCTTGGCGTAAAGGTTGGATCAGCAGCGATGATGTCGGAGCTTTGCCGAAGTCGGCAAGGAGACTTCGTCATGGGATCGCACAACTGCCTTGAGTTTGCAGACCTCGCACAAGGAGAGTCGGTCTGGGCCCCCAAACTGCGGGACATGCTGTCCTGGTGGAACAGCAAGCCGCCCAAGGGTTCTCAACCAGCTGCGCGGGCTGCGCAGCACCAGCCCACACATAAGAACGGGCAATCGACCACGGATTCTTCTTCAAGGGGGGATGGAGCCTCGGAAGGTGGCATCGTCGAGACCAAAGACGTCTCTCCTGACAAGGCGAACCAGTCGCCTTCAGCTAAAGACAAGATGCTTCCAACCCCGAAGTCATCGTCACCGGCCCAGGATCCCAATTCCCAGGAGCCGACAGAGCCAAACCCTGAGGGTACTGATCATGGGATTATGAAGACAATAGAGGAGTCCGCCACATATGCTGCCGCTCCGACGCGAGATGCAGTTCCGGTGCCAGAACCTGCCACGACACCAAATCGTCCCAGAGAGGTAGATGAAGAGTCCTGGAACGGATTCGATGATACACCCGCCGGCGCCAAGGCCTGAGGGGACTTGCTAGGGTAGATTGAATGACTACCCAGCCCCCCTTGCGATGTGTCCGCACACGCTGTGCATCATTGGTTTGATGTCACCGATCTTGACTCGAGGGATATATGTACTTCATGCGCTAAAGCATAGTCCTTTGGCCTCTTTGGAAGGGGTTTTTTCCTTTATCATGCATCGCTACGTAATATAGCTCGGCGTTAGAGGTACCTTTGCTCCGGTTGATTTAGGGGTGGAAAAGTTCAGGTCAGGCAAGGCGAGACGATACGGCCATCAGCAGGCATTTGGCAGGCAGCATACATCCATGAATAGACTCAAGATGTATGGACAGGTCAAGACAAGATAGGCCAACGTAGATACCAATCAACCAGATATTTAGCTAGATCTTGATGCGATCAATGAACAGCGTCTGCTTCGCGTTTCCGTTTTCCGCCGGCCCATCAGAGCTAGAACGTAGCCAGTCCACGATACGATATAATCGAGATTGGCAATGTGTGTTTATGAGTAATATAGGTGCCTAAGTTTTCTAGTACATTGAGTTGACTCCTTGATACCAGACTCAATATCCGGTAACAAGCGGCACAACAGAGAAGTGCTGGGAAGGGAGGTCGTAATCATTCGCATCAAGGTACCTAGTCTACTCTTTTCATGATATAAGTAGCATACCCCTATTCACGTATCTATGATCCTCAAAGAGCCCCAACAAAAAGAGAGGGAGAAAGGGAAGTACAACCTCAATGATATAGGATCTATCAAAAAAATGTCCTCGGCCAGGATCGAACTGGCGATTTCCGGATATCCCAATCTAAGGATTGGATCATAGGAGTTTCATGAATTCTATGAGACCGGCGCTCTAACCACTAAGCCACGAAGACAAGTCACATGTTCTTGGAGGAAAAAATTTCCTAAACGGCTTCACAGCTCCAAGGCTGGATGAAGACCCGGGTTTTCTTTCCTTTCTATCGAAGTTATCCCCTTGAGCAGGGTGGTGACGGACATGGAGCCTAACTAGATTTTCCCCGTCGGTTGCTTTGTCCCCTTTCTGCTCACAAGGTGGCGCCACGCCGTTCGGTCTTCGTCGGCGGCGGTGATCAATGAATCTGATAGCATGAGAACGACAGCAGTGCTTGATGAGGTCACGATCGCCACTGCTTGTGTTCGGGCCAAGTCTCACATATTGGTCAAATTAGGAGATGGTTGTGGTAGTCGTGAAGCAATGACGACGATGATAGCCATAGTATCAGCACCTATGATAGATAGAGATAACAATATATTCAAAGGGGGAGTTGTTACAAACCATGCTGACAGGAGATGATCATCAACATTAAACCAAGCTCTCGAACCTTCGGCATCCCGGCATAGCTCTCCTAGCCAACATGACTCCCCTACCTGAATATCCCGGGCGAGGAAGATGAAGCTCTAGAAGCTATGGCCGCCTGAGGTCTGAGGCAAGTTACCTAGGTACCTAACTAGCGCTATTCGTTATCGCGTGGACACGGTTGCAACCGATGAAGTCATGCAGCTTCAAGTGCATACATCCCTCTCAGCCTCCCGAGGTCCCAGCTACTTCCATGCATGGCCTTCATGGTCTTCAACTTTTTATTTCGCAGATTTAATTATAGTGCATCGTACCTGGCAGCTCTGGATTGCAGGTGACGATAGCTGAAGGTGCCGACCTGGATAATCCCACCTTGGAAGTGATATCACTGGACTACCTGCATACCGGGTCCAGCTCTACACAGCCAATCAACTAACGCTACAGGGTGCCTAACTTCCAGGTTGTTAGCCTACCTAGGTAGGTACCTACATACCTACTCGCACTCCGTAACTCTAAAGGAACACTGCGGGTGCAATTGCAATGACAACTGCAACGTCGACGTTCTTGAACCTATAATCCCTGCTCGAGTGCTGTATCTGGGCAAACCGGTACCGGATTGACGATTATATCCAAACTTTTATATCCAAACCCAACGATTAGACTCTACCTACCCAGGGTACTCCTCATTCACATCTCATCATGACTTCTTCGCTCCTACATCCCCCAAGCCACCTCCCCCCAGCAATAGCCCTGAGGCATTCGCAGTTGGCACCTACCATCTTGGAGACCACTACCGGCGCTGTCTCCAACTCTACCCTAGAATCTCTACTTGCTTCGCCCGAGACGTCCGAGCTTTGGACCATCTACGAGAACCTGCTGCTGTCGTGCCTCAGAACCGGCGATGATGAGGCCGCTCACCAGTGCCTGGGCAGGCTCGTCAAGAGGTTCGGCGATGCGAACGAACGCGTCATGGCCTTGAAGGGCCTCCTGAAAGAGGCCGAGGCTAGCGACAAGGCGACCTTGGAGGTCATTCTACAGGACTACGAGCAAATACTAGCCAATGACCCGACGAACATTGTGAGCCCTACCGCAGCTGTTATACGCTTGACCCGATGCTAATCTGTGCTCCATGAAGCCTATCGTGAAACGCCGCGTGGCTCTCTTGCGGTCTATGGGCAAAGTGGACGAGTCCATTAGCGCTCTCCTATCATTGCTTGATTTCTCCCCAACGGATGCCGAAGCCTGGGCTGAACTTGCCGACCTTTATCTATCTCAGGGGTTATACTCTCAAGCCATATTTGCGCTGGAAGAGGTCCTCATCCTGCAGCCTAACGGCTGGAACGTACGAGCCCTATGCTTAGCGTCTCAGACATCGCTGAATGCTGACTTCAACCTTCCACCAGATACACGCCCACTTAGGAGAGGTCTTGCTTATGGCGGCTAAGACGTCAACACCTGGGGATGCACCAAGACGACTTAGCGAAGCGCTCAAGCGTTTCTGCCGCAGCATAGAGCTTTGCGATGATTACCTAAGAGGATATTACGGGCTGAAGCTGGTACGTGGCCTTGAACACTGATGGGCGATAAGACAACTCTCTGACCTGTCACCAAGACTACAACACAGCTGTTGAGCGAACCTCCGAGATCGTCAGGAAAGTCCGAGTCTGATGATTTCCCGTTGCCCGAGCTAGCTACCCTGCAAGGGCTGGATGCCGTAGCCACGGAGAAGCTGGCTGAGATCGTGCGGCACTATTCGGCTGGAAAGAACGGCTGGCAAGGCTACGATGAAGCTGAGGTAGCAGCAGCGCGGGAGCTGCTGGGAGATAGCAGTGAAGCAACCACTAAATGAACTGCTCGCTTCGTCTAACTATCAAGCGCAGGAGTGCATGAACAATATCCTGCAGTGAATCAGATCAGCCTAATCAACTCAGCCCTCCCTTATCGGCGTGAAAGGCGTGTGGCGAAGTCGGAATGGTCTAACTCAGGCACCAGGGCACGCACTCCCAGTTTAAAGGTGGGCAAGTCTAGGCAGCCGGAGCGAATCATGGTCAATATCCAGAAAGCGCAGTCAGGGGGTGAGTTGTCATTGGGTTGCCTTATGAGCTGGCGGAGCCAGTGGGACCTTTTCGTTAGGTAGAAATCTTTCCTCGCCAGGCAAACGAACGCCCGATTTCATGTCGTGAGCGCGGCGTTTCATCGAAGACCGGTACGAAAGAAACCTACCTAGCTGTAGGGCCTTGTCGAAACTGTATACAGAATCCCCCAATGCCAACAAATTTTGTAAAACTTGGTTGGGATCTCGTCGAGCTCGGCAAACATTGGGTAGACTCTGCAAGGGTAGACTCTGCAATCGTGATTTCAAATCTTTGGCTAGCTCGCCCTATCTCACACGATCTCATATTATGTAGTTGTATATATTGCGCCAAACTCTGATCATACTTCCACGAAGGTCAATCAACCCGTCACCTTGTGAGCTTCATGAGAAACACGCTATCGTCGACGCGACTCTTCCAGACAAACCCTTATTAACCTACTACTCTGCCAATGTGCTCGTGTCTTCTCCCCCCGGGGTTCCATAGAACGGAATAGTGGACACGCAGCCCAGCCCATCGGTGAAGACTCCTCTCCCCTCTCCTCTACTCTCCCTGCTGACACCCCCGTTGGGCTAACAACTGGAAACGCTTGGGCAGCAAAGCGTCTAGTCTCGTGTCTTCCTGGGTTCCGACTAACCAGTAATTGACACACCTATAGTTCACTAAAAGTAAGCCGTTCGGTAGGTATCGATGGGATCCACTACCCAGGTGCTGAGCGAGCGGGTCTAGCCGTCCTCCGCCGCCGCTGCCACCGGTCACGATGAAAGACTCGCTCGCTCATGTAGGGAGGTAGGTAGGAGGTAGGTATTGTACAGCACATAACTGCCTACGTACATACACGATAGATAGGGGCGTAGAAGCGAGAATTTAGGCAAGGCAGGGCTTTTCGACAGTCTGGTTTGGTCTGGCGAACTCTGTGTATGCAACTATGCATGTACGCCGTGTCTTAGCTGAAGTACCTACGATTAGTACGCACGTAGTCAGAATGACAACCTATATAGCCTATCATGGTTATAGCCGTTGGTCACGTTCACACTCACGATCCATAAAAGGGACTCCATCCGCGTATATACATAGACTGCGCACGTACGTACATATCTAGATCTTGATCGTCAACAGCACTGATGATCTGATCTAGAGCTTTGATGCAATGGACCTTGCCCCGCATTCCCCGAGAGCAGGTCTACTATACGTATATATGTATTATATTATATATTATAAATAAACAGCACAGTAAACTTCGTTTGCTATGTATGTACGAAGGTAGCGGCCAAAAGTAAGTAAACTCAGGTACGTATATGTACAGTCAAGATTCTGCTGCTTGATACAGTACCTATACAACATGCTTAGCGGGCCAAGCGACTAAGTGGCCTATTAGCCACTAAAGCACGGGGCTTTCAGCACGTTCTTTGCTGCTATAAGCGTTATGCTTTAGTAGACTAAAAGCTAATTAAGCTTTCTGAGAAGTAGCGCGTACAGCTGAGCTTAAGCCATACTGTGATGGTCTGTATAGGAGTCTACTTACTTTTGGCCGCTACCTTCGTATGGTGTTTTACATTGGTCTTGGTTCATGAGTTGTATCCATCTTCGGCCTCTCTAGAACCTTCTAAATAGTCCCCGTCAACCCGTCAGCCAGCCAGCCAGCCAGCCAGCCGCCCTGCATGCCGCTACGCTTCGCTTTTCACCTCGACACAGCCGCATTATACGCAGCCTATAACCACGTATGTGTGTATTGCACGTATATACTAACTTGTAGTAGTTAAGCAAGTATGTAGATACGATGAGCTCGCTACATATACATATGTAGTTTGAAACAGAATGGCTCTAGATATACTGGTGCTAGGTAAATTTAAGCCTCAGGCGTACTTCGTGGCTAGGCGCTGTGCATACATAGGTACTCCATAGATATCTGCTACGTCTCCTTCTCTTCTCGGCTACGGGGGAGGGCTGGACGAGCTGATAGCAGTGTCGGAACGAACACATATATGTATATGTATGCAGGTAGGTACTTGGGTATATCGTCTGGATGTGGTCTAGTGAGCTGTGAACTGCTACCTCAGTCACCGGAAATGGGCTGGGTTACCACCGCGGGCGGGCGGGCAACCATTATCTATCTGTGATCGGAAGAGGATATATTCCAGGAACAAGTCCGCGCGCGCGCGAACGCGCGATGAACCATACCGGTCGGATCTATCGGGGGAAAGAGGGGAGGATGGAGGGTCGAGGGTCGGGAGTATAGCGAACTGCTAACCAACCACGGGACCCATGGGTTTTGAGGAGACTGGGAGAGGGGAGGGGGGCTCTCATTTTTTGGTGCATAATAATACTGGGTGTCGGATGCAGGCGAAGGCAAACAAGCCCTCGCCTCGCATTCCATCCTGCTCTTCTCGTCCTCGTCGAGTCTTTTTTCTTTCTTTTTCGGTGTAAGTGCATATGCTTAGAGGAAAGAGTCTGACGATGGAAC